AGAGAGAGTAACCAGATGAATGACAAGACGCGTGCAGGCTTGTCTTCAAATGCAAGATAGTCATTTCGAGCATCTTTTGTAAAAATAATTAAAACAGAAAATTCATTCTATCTCATAAACGAAGACAGACAGGACATATATTTATATGACCTTTTTTTCATTACTTTTAGGCGTACAATCAGCTCCCGAAGTGAGTCCCACGAGTTACGAAACACCCTGTACAACGAATTTTACCGATTTTCCTTACAAGTATCGTCTTTCGTTCGAAACAACATGACGAATTGACTCGTCAATTGTTTCGCGCTGGTTAAATTTCTTGAATAACAAGAGTTACCAAACGAGAGAAAGATAACATGAAACATGTTGTAAAGAGAATTTGCTTACGAATGAAAGAGGATTCGGTCGATCTGATATTGCAGATTTCTTATTCTCGCAAGTAGAATTCAGAATAAAAATACAGACGCAGTTTGTTGACGTTTAAAGAGAAATCTTTGAAAAATACATGCAGTGAAACTTTTTTTGTGTTTTTTTTTTTTGTGTAATAATAATACAGTTATGAAATATCGAAGATCGTTATAATTTTTCAGTGGTCAATGATAGTGTCTGTTCTTTGCGCTGCGATTAGCTAAATTACACAGCCTGGTACATCATTACGCTACGTGATTACTTCTCCTCTCTTTTAAAACGAAGAAAATTCAGTTTTAAAAGAGCGTCAATTTAGAATTCGCTCGGAATTTTAAAATATTTCTCGCATAGATAAGTGAAATGCAGCAGAGTTTTCCTTTTCTCTTTCGAATTTTAACTCAGAGTTCTAAACCTAGGATTTTTTTTTTTTTTTATCCTTTTAAAATGTTGCTTTTAATATGATCATTAAAGTCACTCTGTGATTTCGTGTGATTTTTTTTACATTCCCACAATGAAGAAGAATAAACTTCTTCCTGTTCGAAAATTGCATCTTGTATCTCTTTTAATTAACAAGCGCGCAGATTTTTTTTTAAATTCTTCTGCATGGTTTTTTTTTGTCAAACTTGAGAATTTCTCTCCCCCATTTTCTATTTTACTTTGATCTTCAACCACAAGCTTTAATCTGATACAATGAAAAGAATAATAAACTTCAACGATACGCGAATAAAAAAAAAAAAAACCTGTAAAGTTTAAGTTTGCAAAAGGTCGTCACAGTTCGCTATTTGCATTTTGTAAAAAACGAGTCGCCAAAAAAAAAAAAAAAAAGAAACGAAATATAAATGTCACTTGTGTTACAAGTGGTTACAAATATTAATAAAGATGAAAATTAGCCGCAAAATATTCTGAAACTATATAGAAAAACACCTAACGAAATCGAAAGGTGTATTATGTTATACAATCATATATATTTGTATGTATTATACAATCAACGTATTATACAAATTGTGAATATTATACAATCGGTCATTACGTTATACAATCATCGCGACATGGCCGTCGAATGAAATTTCGCAACGGGGAGAACGATCAACCGTTTCCCGTGAAACGGACAGGGTTTCAATTATATTCGACCGGTAATTAATCGCTGTTTCAATTTGTTAAGGTGTCTGGAGCTGAATACTCGGTGAGAAACGGAGTTTGACACGAGCTGGTTGGGAGAACAATTTGCATAACTTCGATTCACGACTTACAAGCGGCAGAGCTCGGTAAAACTAATATTAATTATCTGATTAATAATTACGTTGAGTCTTTCATCCTATTTTCATCCTTTTTTGTCTTATCTCGTTGCGATACTTTGAACTCGCACTTTCTCTCATGTTTGCAAAGCTGAATTTTTCTAGTGAAACTATTTTTCTACTGAGAAGCAGTGCGTCTGATTTCTAATCTGTGTTCTGTTTTCAGTGACGATGCTTTGTGGCTCGAGACGATATATATAAAACGAAACAAAAGTTACGAGGTACTGAAAGGTACATGCTTAAAGATATGAAGGTACGTTGTTTTTTTTTTTTTTTTTTTTTTTTTTTATCAAATCAATACGCTGACTTCGTATATATCGCAAATATTGTCGTAAACACGAACGATCAGATAATCTGCAAATTCTTCACTATACGATAAAAATGTTCGATGTATAACAGATTGTAAAGATGTTACGATTGTGTTCACGACAAAATTATTAAAAAGCTAGTCTACTTCTTAGAATATTTTTCGACTTATCTGACAGTATCTTTTGAAGAATTTGTTGAACTTGGTCGTAACATATACATACAAATGCCATTAAAATATAAATTACTGATTTAAAAAAAAAAAAAAAAATTACCACAGTCTAAACAGTATAAATGTAAATTTAAAAAAAATTAGTGACTACAAATGTTAATTAGTGATACAATAACGAATGTTATTTGTAATTGTTTACCTTGACAGCGATTCATTATATTTTTAATTATTTATATTGACGACGATTTATTAATAATTTATTAATAATCACGAATTATTAATAAACTACGGAAATGAATTCAAAATTGCCGTCCTGCATAATTTTGCATAAAAAAAAGAGAAAGACAGAGAGGAAAAAAAAACTCAACGATAATGAATTTTTTCCAACAAGAGAATTCACGCGACAAACTTCAAATCATTTGCATAAATAAAACGAGATGATCGTTTGCAACCTTTCCCCAAGGACTTTGTATCGAGACTTCGCTCAGTCATTACGAAAGATACTGAGATTTATTATATTAAAAATAAATTCGCAAAAAAAAAAAAAAAACTTTATCGCTTGACATCGAGGTGATCTTAAGCGATTTTATTCAAGGTAAGACAAATGTTCTTAAGCCTCTCTATCTCGCTTCCTCTTTTCTCTTCGTGGAGCACTCAATTGAGGACTCGGTTCCTATGAATTTCACGTGATAATGAGACAATAATGAACCCATTAAGGACCACATTAACGAAGGAAAATATTGTTTTGTCGATGCAGCGAATAGAACAGCGTGTAAAGGATGATTAAACAAGAAAGCTTGTGCGATCAAAAGAAGAATGTGTATGTAGTTCATCACGGAGCTGATTTTTCAATTTTTTTTAAATCTTTGTAAACAAGATAGAGGTACGAGTAGTAACAGACGAGAATATCAAACAGATCCTCGAAGTTCCCATTTACAATGTTAAAAAAAACGAATTCAAACAGATTTAAAGCGACGTGACCGACTTACAAATACAATACGGATCGAATTTAATAACATTCAGGATTCATTGATACAAATTCTTTGGAGGCAAAGTTCATCGATGATGTTTGAAGTTCCATCTCGCCGATTGTTGAAACAATAAATTTTCATTGTCGAGTCGTGTTGACAATTTACATGTCAATTATATGATCAAGCATGATCGTTTAGCGGTTAGACTAGCTAGACTTGAAGAATAACAAACTAAAAGATTGATAAGTAATTCATAAAGAATTTCATAAGTAAGACTAAAACTAAAAGGTTGATAAATAATTCATAAGGAACTTCATCAAGAAATTCATAAGTAAGATTAATAAGCACTTCTAACAGGAAGAACGAGGTAAAAAGGAAAAAGAGACAAATAATTAAAAACAAATTTCCAAATGAACTGTATCGCATTAGCGCAACACATACTTAACGAGTTAATTACACTCGCCGGTCCAAAAGATACTAAATAAATTCCATATGACAAAATGAAAAAGAAATAGAATCTCTTGGAAGAAATTGAAGGAATCTGATTATATAATCATAATAATAATCTGATTATCAATTTAATAACAATTATATATTATGTAAATTAATTGCTATATAATCTGATTATTCATTTTCTGATAGGAAAATGAATCTTCCAGGTATGAGAAAAACCAACGAAAAGCCAAGCTCAGATGCTTATCTGTTAACAACAAGCACATGTATCAGCTCACCGGTAGCCGAGCCTGACGACGATCCCGTTTGATTGATCCTCCCAGCTTCCTGTTGCTTCACCCGAGCAACTCCACCAGGTAGCAGCGCAGAGCCCTTCGCCATAGAAGAGGAACTATTCGCCGACGAAGAAGACTTCACATCGATCTTCTTCATCTTATCTCGAATGTCTCTGTCGTCGTCTCTCGGGTCTGTTTCGTCTGGCTTCCCTTGGTCCTTGACCGAGCTCTTCTTCATCTTGATCCTGACTGCTCTTCTCCTTTTTTTTTCTCTCTCGCAGGAAGAAGTTCGCAGTTTATACCCTCTCCGGTACGAACAGTGTCGTCATAGTGGAACATCGAATCTGAAAGGAAACAGAGGAAAAAGAACTGGCACTCGCGTTTGAGGAATGATCATCTACAGCGAATGGGAGGGACAAGGTTCTCTTTTATTGAAGCCGGTTTCAGTGAATTCAGCACGGCTATCGGCATTCGCGCTTTTGTCGTTTCGCTTTTGGTGTTTGCAAAACAATTTTTTTTTCTTCTTTTTTTTTTTTGAAACTGCGGATATTTATATTTATGCGAGTTATTTGTATCTCTGCAGGTACGATCAAAGAGAGAATAACTTCAGATAAACATGAACTTCAAATTGAAAGCTTTAAAACTTTCTTGATAGTTCTAATTTACTCGAATTTGTATATGTTTCTATAAGTTGAATTTATATAAGCTTTTTCTTAAAAAATGATATCATTTTGAAACTAGATAATGTATCTAGATACAAAGATAAACGTGATGAGTAATTTCAAAGTATCAGAGCGATAACAAAAGTTCAAAGTTTTAAGTTTACATTTATAAGGTAAAATAACAAGTCACCGATTATTTGAATATTAAAAAGTCTTTTTAACGTAATATTCCGCAGGTATGAAGAATAAGAAACTTGAATAAGAAGCAAAAGTATTTTTCCAAGCTTCTTGCTGACTTAAAGAACTAGGGATTGAGGCAGAGTTTCAAACGCTAAATATTCTAAATATATTCTAATTTGTTTTCTACATCATGTGGAATTTTTTTCCTCTCTGTGTTTTCACGTCCACAAGCATCTTTCAATGCCACTAGGAACTGCAAGAAAATTTAAGGGAAAAATTAAATAATTCACTAAGAAGAAACAAACTACGAGAAGCATGTGGGATATAGCATAACAGTGGTTCGGACGAGTAAATACAGAAACGTTTAAAATAAAAGCTAACAGCTGCCGGAAGTTCCTGCCCGCATATAGAATCGCTGGACAAACGAAATTTTATCGCGCTCGCTTATATTTATCGCAATGTGACGCGCGTATCACAAGGAAATAATCGTTGTGAAAATGTAGAAAGCGAAACCAGGTAACGAGCGAACAAAATATTTGTCTTGCTTTCTCTTTTCATAAACTACAGATGGATCTTGGTCGAAATTGTGTCATGTTGCATTGTCACCAAAATAGGTAAAAATTTGTCCTTTCTAAAGTTATACTAATTTTCAAAAATTTTACATGATACAGAAAAAAAATATGTGTGCAGTGAGCCGAAATTTGAAGTTACTGCGTTATTATTTTGAGTCGAAAAATTTGAAGAGATTTATTAAGAAGAAAAGAAAAAAGAAATTAGAAAATTTAAAACAGGATGGGAAAACTCGAAATATCGAGAAAGAAGAAATTAAAAAATTCCTCTGCCTGGGAATTTAATGTGGACAAGAGACCACATCACCGGAGAAATTAAAATAGGTTGCAGGAGTGGGAACGGGACACAATGGAACGTTGAAACCGGTTCAATAAACCGATATCCGAAATACATCGCGGGCTATTAAATAAGCTTGCCAGTAAACATACAACAGAAAAAGATATACGATGACACGAGGTTAAAGACTTGACACGACGTATTGGAAATAGGTGCTGTGAAAGGAAAATCAAAGGCAGCTGACTAGCTTTGTAATATTCCCGCAAATCTTGAATACAGCGACTATAAAAACAAAATGATCGACCCTGAGACGAAGCAGCAAAATATGCAACGAAATGTCAGAATAATAATTTCTTTGGTTGTGAGACGTGAAAAATTTTCGGAATTAATTTCCATAAATATTACGACATTAAAATACGTTGAATAAGAATTGATTTAGAGAAAAGAATTGCGAAATAACGTGTGAACTGAAAAATTACAAGAAAATTTGCGACGTTATGAAGAACCGAACGATCGAATATAACTGAAAGGAGAGATATTAAATAAAACTTTTCCTTTCGTAATTGGTAATAACGTAGTTTAGACGAGTCGTAATATTTGATGAAACGAAATAGCTCAATTTCAACGTGAGGTAACATTAGGCAACCTCGCGTCTCAGCTTTCTAGGAAATTATTAACTACTCGACCTTTGGGCAATGTGCAAAAACATTCGTCCTTTTTCAACGTTAATGATCTGAAAGTTTTGAGGATGTAGTAATATATAATAAAATATTGTCGATTCGCATTGTTTATTGTACTGTACTCTAATTGCATTTTAAACGAATGGTGAATGGTCTCGCTCTTTACGAGTAACTTGAGAACGATTTAACGTGAAAACGTTAAACAGGCGAGGATCTGTTTCGTGTGTGACTTTTCATGCAGCGAATAGAAAAAAATGATGTGCATTAGCATACATTATTATTATTACAGTGCATAGATCATACGTAATCAACAACAGAGCTAAACAATTGAACAGAAGAAGTAAACAGGACAGCCAGAAGTAAACAGGAAGAGAGCTCGACTCACTCCCATCTGTAGAAATATTAATAAAACTACGTTCATCGAGGCGAGAGTGGCGTAGTGGGCGGGAGTAGAAACACGAACGAGACCGAGAGACGTAAGGAGACGAGGGAATGGCTAGTGTTCCCAAGTTGAGAGGCGACACCCAAATTATTCTTCTTATCTTTCGAAACTGTCCCCCAGAAACTGTGCGGAAAAAGTCGTTCCTTTGTTCGAGGGAGCGAGTCCCTCGAACGGATGAAAAAACAGTGAACGAAAGCGGAAGACGACCCGAGAGATAACGCAGCGGCGCTCGGCCATGCGCGCGCGCTCGTAAACTAACCTCAAAAAGGTGGTCGGCGATCGTAAGCCGCATTTCGGGATGCAGAAGACGCACAAGTCCAGCGTTCACCGCACTGTTGACGTCGCGTGGTTGACGTCGGGTCAATAACGAGATCACCAAGGGTAATGAAAGTTTCTTTTGTCGAGCGACGACGAAGCAAGTGGCCGCAAAGTGACATTCACCCTTCGTCGTTCGCACACGTTCGCGCGCACATCGACGCCATGCCTTCGTCCCCACCCTCGTCCGATGGCGAGCGAATCGGACGCTATCTGGCGGCGTCTCGCCGACTGCAGCCGCTCGAAATTTTCGAAACGCAGGCAGCAATGCCACGTTATAACCTCTTTTCGCTAGTAATTGGGGGTTCACTGACCATAACGAGTGACCAGGTTGTGTACAATAATTCTTTTTTCATTCATTGGTATATCACTTCATGGATAAAAGTTACTAAGAAGTAATAAATATATTATTTGTTTTGCCTTGGGTTATATCTCGATATACTTAAGATTGAGGAAATATTGCAATTTTTGGGCCAAATATTCTCGACGTGCGTGGCACGTCATTCCAGCGCAAGAGGTTAACTTGGCGATGCCCGTGATTTTGCTTTGCTAGCTGACCGTCTCTCGCCCCACTCTTTCTTCCTCCGTTAGCGGCTGTTTGCTGATGATCCTCACGCACAAAGTGAGATCATTCGAATTTTCTACTGTGTGTGCGTGTGTGCGCGTATGTGTGTACATATATGTATTTTTGAAACTGTTTGAAGTTCTCTTTTTTCTTCTTTTTTAGAGCGAATTACTAGTCCAGTTTCGTGTTTCAGGATCGGGGATTAATTTTCACTGTAACGCGGTAATTACTCACGAGCGAGAAATGACGGTAACTTCGTACTTGAAGAGGATCGTAAGTAAAAGTTGCATCTTATCCGGCGAGTGACTTTCGCAGTGCCGAATTTAAAATGCCTGTGCGAAGCATGCGTAATCAATACGTCGATTAATTTCTCAATCGAGTCGCGTTGTTTCTGGTCTGCATTTCATTTACGTTCGATAGAGGATATCCCTCGATAACTGACCGGACGAAGCCCCACCGTTGCAGTCATTTGGCGAAACAGTGAGCATACGTTGATGAAATTCTGGAACATAGTGGATAAATAAACAAGTGAAACGGAGAGAAACGTCGTACAAGTCAGTTGAACTGTCGCTTGAGAATGTTAAAGAGACAAAAATGAAAAAGAAATTAATACGTGACGAAGTAAGTTTGAAAGTCGTCTTGCGTTTATCTGCGTGATTATTTCAATGCATTTTCCCGAGTAAGCAATATATTTAATCACCTATTAGGAAAAAAAAAAAATTTCTGTGGCAAATGTATGCATGCAAGTATACAACGCGTTATCGCCCGAATAATAGAACGTAGAAAGATAAAACACGATTAAACACTTTCAAAGCTTTTAAGAGTCGAAATTAAGTGTCAGGATTGACATATTACAGACATTGTGTCAGCATAAGTGAGAGATAGAAAAACAGTCTGTAAAAAAAAAAAAAAAAAGGTAACGCGTTTTGTAGAATGCATATGATCATCATTCACATGAGGACACGTGAATTTATATTTTGAATTTTGACATAAAACCTCTTTCATAATTCCGATCGTAATTTACAGTCAAACAAACTGGGAGATTATGTTGTCGACGATAAAGCAAAACAGTTTTTGCAAAGTAAAACTGGTGAAAAATCTGTCTACGCAAGAGATGCGTCTTGTGAAATTATGGATATCGTTCGTCATTCGTACGACACAATTTATATTTCGAATTTTGATATATAAAATATATGATTCCAGCTGTGGATTTATAGTTAAACACTGGAACGCTGCGTCGTCGGTAACAAGACGAAATTTTTAACAATTTTTCAAACAGCCAGCGAGATCTATCTACGCAAAAAAGTGTATCTCATGAAATTATAATTGTCGTTCGTCAACATATCCTTCCCGGTCGCGCGCTACCCTGGCAGCCATCTTACGAGTCTCTCCCCGATCCGTTAAATATCTCTCCTCGACGCATAAAAGGTTGTAAGTCCCAGGCCGGCGAGCGACTGTAGCGTTTGCGCGGATCCCGTGGTAGTCGGGAACCAGTGAAGGTGTAAGTGGTCTGTCTGTCTCGCAATCAGTCGACTACGAGTATTGGGAAAAGCGACGTCGTACGAATGCCGCGGTGTTGCGAGCGTGTCGGATAAGTCGTGACTTAAATCAGCCCAGTTCTCGTGAAGTGTCACATGATACTGAATCACCCGCTAATTTCCAACAAGTTACTCCCGGCCGAACTCTCTAAACTGAACTACAATTGTAAGTACGTGACGTCAATTAGCCGCGTACGTTCCTCGTGTAACAGATCTTTATTTACATACGTCTAGAGACTTAAGGGAACGACGATTCCTCTTAGGATCGATCTCGCGTAAGTCGTCGTGATTTACTTCAAATATGGAAACGACGTTTGCTTGATATTTCGATGGTAAACGAGCCGAACTGATCGGACGCCGCCCGAGGAGAATCGTTTGGTTTTATGGGAGAGATCATGACGCCTGCCTCGCGTACTAAAGTAAAGAATTGTTTTAAAGAAAGTGCGGAGTTGCAAAAATAATCCGTCGCTGGAACGCCCGGAGAAAATAGAGAGAGAGAGAGAGAGAGAAAGAGAGAGGCTCGTCAGTAGCTACCGTTACGCGAGTAACTTCGTGACTCTGCTCGATTAGCCTGCCAAAGCACGAACCATACACCGATCGCAATTGACAACGCAGCTATCTGTGTCGGTTTTCCCATATATCGTTCGTCAATGGAACGGAAGCCTCTCCCTTATGGTGCGCGAACGACTTGAAGCGAACGAGAAAAGAGGAATAAAAAGAAACGCTCAGGCGTAGACAACCGACCGACCGGCCTGAAATGTGACGCGAGTTGATTTCCGGCCAGACGAACATTGTCAAACTCCTCGTGGCTTAGTGGCTGGCAGCCTTGATGCGTAACACACCTCAATTACATCGTTATTGGGCCCGTCAGCGCGCTAAAATTATTGCGCTGCCGGTGTTCGTTCGCCTTCGAGGAATTTATTCAAATGTGATTAGTCGACGCGCGTCCTCAGAGTCTTTCGTCTCGGACGTTCTCTCGTTGTACGCCCGGTTAATCGATAAACCGAACCGGCGTTCCCCATAAAAACCCGCACGGCAGGCTGACACAGTGAGATAATTCGTTGCACAAGGTCAGTCCATTAATCGACATTGGCAGAGCGATGTATAAACACAGAGAGAGAGAGAGAGAGAGAGAAGGAGATAACGATCCAGTTGATTAGGCCGACAACGTGGATCTTATCGCAAGAGACAATAAAGATCCTTGTTTCGAGCGATATTCTCTTGAAATTAACATAGTAACTTAGTTGCGTGTGCAATTATAACGAATTTGCATGAAATTACACGCTGCGTTATTTATACAGACTTTTTTTTGAACAATATTATAGCGGTAGGAATATTTATATATCTAAATTCGATTCGCTGAAGAATCGACAGCGGCTGGTGTAAAAATCGTTGAGCCTCTTTCTCCACCGTTCTTCATAGTAATGAATGTATGTTTTTTTGAACTGTCCGGAAATTTGATGAAAACGATATCGACGTGCGTGACACGCCTCGAGTAAAAATATTTTAATAGGCCTCGAAGCAAGCACGCCCTGTGGCGCACGTAAATGCCAACTTCGTCCACAAAATTGTCTTTTTGTGACACACAATTGTCGTGTAGCTTCCTTTTTAAATATACTATTCTTAATCTATTCTGTGCTTTATACACCTGTTTATCAAAAAATTCCGGCAGGCTAGTCAGCGCGAGCGTAACGTAATTCTCAAAAATAAGCTACAAGCAAAATGATATAAGCAAAAGATGAAAATGGATTCTATTAATCTCAAAATGATGCAATGTATGATTTTAAACTCGGCATATTTAAAAATTGAAAACGTTTTACTTTCAACAGCATTCTTTATGCGTTTATATTATTTATAATGCAAAATTGTCTTTTTCCTAAATAGATGTCAACCAAACACAAAGATCAGAGGAAGATGCACCCTAAAGGACAAGTGTTGAATGCATTTCACCGGCTAGTTGAATTCATTGCCAAAAGGATATGTATGTTCATCGCGTTTCTAAAGGGACCTGCAGAATCTCAACCACCTATAAAAGATCTAACGCTTCTACATAACGCGACTACTTTAGCACTGAAGATTCGAAATAAACAGGTAAATCCGATCTTTCCTCCTGACACAAATCTTGTAAATAACTGTAAGTGATAGTTGCTATAAACGGACAATTACATTTCACAGTTAACTTCAGAAGAGGTAGTACAATCATACATAGATAGGATAAAAGAAATTCAGCCAATACTAAATTGCGTAGTGGAAGATCGTTTTGAGGATGCTCTCAAAGAAGCTAAGATGTGTGATGAACTTTTGAAATCTGAGGATGCCCCATCTCCTCAAGTATTAGCTAAAGAGAAACCCTTTTTCGGAGTGCCTTTCACAACAAAGGTAAACTTCATTTCACAGAATACGTGATACAATGGTTTCAGATGTCAGTAACAAAATGTCTAAGCTCTTTTTCTATATTCTGTCACAGGATTGTATTGGAATAGCCAAAATGAAACAAACGGCTGGTTTAACTGTTCGCAAGAACTTTGTTTCTGAACGTGATGCAGAAGTAATTAGATTAATGAGGACTGCCGGGGGAATTCCTCTGGCCACGACGAACGTGTCAGAATTGGCCATGTGGTGGGAAACGTCCAACTGTTTATATGGAACTACGAAAAATCCTTACAACACGAGGCACATTGTCGGAGGTTCTTCCGGCGGTGAAGGTTGTATACAAGCAGCAGCTGGCTCGCCACTAGGGATAGGATCAGATATCGGCGGCTCGATTCGTATACCAAGCTATTTCAATGGAATATTCGGGCATAAACCTTCTACCGGGGTAGTTTCGAACGACGGTCAGTACCCGAGTGCACAGAGCGAAGACCAAAATCGGTTGCTCTCAATTGGACCTATGTGCAGATACGCGCAGGACTTGTTGCCTACTTTGAAGATTCTTGCGCACAAAAATGTGGATCTTTTGCATTTGGATGAGAAAGTAGACATTTCCAAACTTAAGGTAGGAAACGGTGTGCTTAAGTGAAAAGTAACGGGTCGTACGTAATTTGTGACGAGTATTTATTTCAATTTAGTTTTATTATATGGAAGACGACGGTGGTCAATTTCTGACGTCGGCAGTTGAGCCAGAGATAAGAGAAGCCATGAGGAAGGTAGTACGATACCTGGAGAAAGCACATAAAATCAAAGCGACTAAACTCAACATTAGAAAAATGAAAAAAAGTATCGCTCTCTGGGTGGCTAATATGACCTGTAAGGGCGAGAAAGACTTCACGTACGAATTGGCGAACAGAGCTGGCCATATAAACATATGGTGGGAATTTTTAAAATGGATGTTGTTCTTGAGCAATCATAAGCTGATATCTCTTCTTACTGCCATGTTTGAAAGATTCGCTGTGAAATACGGAAGCGACAAGCACACGAAATTCATACAGGAGAGTAAAGACCTTTGTCGAGAATTTCAGGTAAGAACCTTGCAGTGGGCTATTCATATGTATGAATTATATCAGTAATTTTTTAACTTTTATGAAATGCCGATGCAATATTGTACATTGATGAGTGCCTGTAATGTAATGTAATCCATCAGGATTGGAATTGGCTCCTACCTTCTTCGTCCTCCTTTCTTACTATTGCATTGCGGAACAATACTCTTTATTAAAATGGACGTGATTTCTTTTCGTGCAAACTGGTCAGACTATGTTAGTCAGTTTGTCTTTCACGGTATCACGAGTTACTTTTAATAAGTAGTGAAAAAAAAAATATTGCTCTGCATGCAGAATGAAACTTTTTTTCCATCCAAATAGCGAAAGAATTCTATTATTTTTTGTAAATATTTTTTCACGTTGTGGTTGTGTTTACGCGTCGACGAAAAACGAGTGACTGAAGTTCAAGCATGTGTCCAGAGATATCCAAACATTGTTTTCTTGTTCCTAATGCATTGTTACTTTTTGTACGTGGCGTACACTCCTAATTAATTTTCTTTTAATAGGACATCTTGGGCGAAGACGGTGTGTTTCTATATCCAACGCATCCAACTGCGGCACCAATGCACCATGAACCGCTGATTAAACCATTCAATTTTTCATACACTGGTATTATTAATGTTTTGGGCTTGCCTGCTACTGCGTGTCCCTTAGGTTTGAACAAACAAGGTCTTCCTATTGGTATACAGGTATAAACCTTATGCATCGATATTAATAAAATTGAAACAGAGAAATGAAAATTTTGGTGATAGATAATTTGTATAACTTCAATGTGTTATAGGTTGTTGGTGGCTTATATCAAGATCATTTAACAATAGCTGTTGCTGAAGAACTGGAGCGTGGTTTCGGGGGTTGGGTACCTCCGGTGATCGTAGCTTGATACGATAACTGTCTCTTAGACAATAATCCAATCCAATGCATAAGTTTAACCTCTTTTTACGACACAATCTGTCATCATGTTATTTTTCGAGTACTAATTTGTACCAGCGAATCTTAAGGTAAAATACAAAACATTTATTCAAAAAGTAGATCTTCTGAACATTTCGGAGAAAATTAATTAATGAGGGAAAGGGAACTAATAATTCTTACAAGTATACGTAATATAACAAAGGCTAATTGTCGCATTGATTTGTATAATCAATTATAAGCTATATTTCGTCGAAAAATACGCGAAATTTGCGTATCGATATATACACGTGTGTGTATATACAAATGTATATGAAACGTATGTATATTTATATATATAAATTGATGTTAAAGAAATCACTTTTCTAACAAAAATCTCGTTGAAAGAAGTAATAACATTTGTACATAAGTAAACTACTACACTGTATTTGATTACCGTTTTTATATACCTCATCGTAGATCTCTATAAAGGATTTTCTATTTTCATACGAATCAATAGAGAGGGAGAGAGAGGGGGAGAAAATGCGTGTATGAACGATAGAAAGAGAAAAACAAATTACATGGTAGTAGAGTGCTTTTGGTAATGTGATAAAAATATTGAAGATTTTATGTTTATACTGTGTATTGATGTTAATATACTATATACATATATATTTTATATACTAAAGAAATAAATTTTTATTTCTTCCCTATTATTCTATCACAATTTTCTCTTTTACCAATGAGTTTTTATAGAAGTGAAAGTAGTTTTTTTTTAATTTATAACTTTTGTTGGCTTACTTTATAATGAAGATTGTACATGTATTGTAATATAAAATAAATAGATAGAAAGGATTCGGATATTAAAATATTATTTTATTTAAAAATACAATTGATAGAATTAAAAAAAAAAATATCTATGACGCAATTTCTATCACACTTACAGTTCTAAGTACGCCTTTTTCGAATACGAAACGAGAGATCTTCGATTTCATGGTATATTTGATATCAATAAATAATTTAATACATATTTACAATTCCAGTACGAATCGCTCGTCGTACGTTTTTAAAAAAGTATGAGTGAAAATTTATGAATTTCGTATATGTGAAAATATGTTCATGGGGCTTCGAGAAAAATGATAAAAATGTAGCCTATAAAAATTACATTTATGAATGCTTACAAGTTAAATTCAAGATCATAGTATAAGTACTCGTTGCAAGTTATAAACTATATGTTTTTCACATACGATAGAAAAAGGAACATAGAGAATGTTCGTGCAATATTCATTTTACTTTCGCAACGAACAGTAGTAGCAATGTATAAATATATTTAAAAAAGAATGAAAAGTTCCGGCGATAATAAATTCATTTTTTTTTTTCTTATATGATAAAAAGTACTAAAAATAAAATAAAAAAGGAATAAAATAATCCAGTTGAAACAAAACCTATATAAGAAAACACAAAAGCCTCGTTAATATTTAAATACTTAAATAACGATGTATATCGTATCACAATATATCTTAAAATCCACAAAGAATACACGGAGTGTCTACCTACTATATTTCACTGATCGTAAATCTAGCGACGATGTTTGATTTAATTATATTTAAAGAGTCAAAGACTTATCACGGAAGTGCCGCGTTAATTTGTTTCAACCTAAATAGTCAACGAGACTAATATTACGTTATGAGATTTGTTTCTTCTGAGGGAGTTTCCACCTTTTTTGTATCAATTAGTGCATTTTCTGACCTGTTATCTAACGAATTATCTTTACTGTCGTCGCTGTCTGGCCTGTTTGAGATTTCATACTCGTTTGAGTGTCTTTTCGACTGAGATTCTAATAAAGTGTCATGCGAGTCTTTGTATTGTTCTTTTTTATCGTCAAAATAATCGGTGTTACCGTTGTTCAACCTTCTGTCTCTATTTCTGCAACAAGAATCTTCGTCTCTCTCTTCATTCATCGTTCTTCTACTGTCTCTTCTATCTTCTTTCCTTTCTCCATTGGTACGATTAATTAGATCTAGCTCTACGTTTGTTATCCCAGCTTTCTTCGATGGCTGATTTTTCGTAGAATTACCGAAAGGATTGAAAAATCGCCTTCCGTTTTCTTTGTTCACGCCGTTACTCGACTTTACGGAATCTGTCTCCTCGTTTCTCTTGTGAGTCTCTTTGGATTCGAGCTTCTTGTCGCAACGCTGGTCCATGTTCTCAGCTTGCTCCTTCTCCCTTTTTATCGCAGCCAGTTCGGCTTCCTTCATCGCTGAATGAATAACTGGTTCGGCCCATAGTCCTGGGTTAAAAGCTGGCCCTGTGCCACCTAGTTCCGCTGGCAAAATGTCAGTGGGCAGGTGTTCGTGCAAAGTGCTCAAGTTATTTCCATGTAAGTAAATCTGAAAACGTTGGAGGTATGTTAATTATGTCGCAAACTTCATGAAAAGTTAGCCTTTCTATCAAGAATCTTTGAGATCGAAAGGGAACTCGTTCAAGGGAAATTGGATATTCAAAGTCTATGCAAACATCGCAAGTCTGGTGGTTTACGCTGCCTCGAATTATCTTCTCTGGTCAATATTTAATTTCCCGTATCTAAAACCCGTATGCAAAGTTGCTTCAATTTCAACACGGTGCGATCATAACATGCTTGGAAATACAGGAATATAAAAGCTTTGCTGTTGTATGTAATTCGTCGACTGCGTCATCTTAATTAATGCGGTTACATCCACTCACGTCAATTAATATAACATACTTTAATCAAAGTTATTCGTTAACATCTGATTGATTAGCATTATAATATCTTTGATTATATATTATAATATCTATAATATATATTATATTTGATTGATTAGCACTTTGATTATATATTATAATATCTTTGATTGATTAGCACTCTACACATTGTGTATTTTATTCCTTTCTAATGGTTTGTCCTTCGGGTTCTCTTACCTTGTTTCGAGTTTTTTCGTCCAAAAAAGGTTTCACAAGGGCCAACGTGGCCTGGACATAAAGCGGCGCCGACAGGAAGTGTATAGCCTTAAATCTAGCCGGAAATCGTCCCCGGAGAGCAGCTATTAGGTTTCGCAGTGCCGTTGCGCCCAAGGCACCGCCCTGTCGCAAAGAGAATCCGCTCCAATCTACCACTGCCACGAAACCGGATTGCTAAAAGAAAAAAAAAAAAAAAAAATAGAACGTCCAGAGTCCTATGGCGGGACTAAACGTGCGAATGCATGCACACGCGAATCGTACCTGATTCCTCGGGTCTTGTATGAGTATTTCCAGTACCAAGAACAGGGCTCGTTGAACCGACAATGCTGGAACGGCTATTGGATCCCATTGCGAAGCTAAAATGACGAGCACGCATCTCCCTTTTCTAAAAATTTGTATCAGATTATTATTAATAACACGTAATACGGAGAAGAAATTTTAGAGAATGTGGCCAGAAACTTTATAGCGAAAAATCTCGCAGCGTGGTCGATGTTCTGCTAATCTAATGTTAATGTAAAGTCGAGTAAAGAGTGGAATTTGAATACCTATCGCGCGCAGGAAGTACACCCGGTATTCCGGCGCGTAGCGCGCGCTGCAAGGCTGGATCTCTAGCTGTTAGATTGCCGAAGATATCCTGTCGATGCGCTACTTGCGCCTGATAAGCGACTATCAGAGCGGCAGCTTGTTCCGTGCGATATTTCCGGGCCAGCAGGAAACGCGTAATATATTCGTCCGTGCAGTGCTTTAAGTCTACGAGCAAACACAGACGGGCCATTGTAATGCTTCGCGCGAAAGAAAAAGAAGGAACAAAACAAAAAAAAGAAAAAAAAAGAAGAAGGAGAAGAAGAAGATGTAACCGGCAGGAAGCCGGTCGAACGTGAACATTATGGCCGGAAATTGGAGGTTCGATGCGTGGAAAACGAATCAGTCTAACGGGACCACCTCGGTTGAATGAAATATACCGATACGAGTGCTATATCTTGATAGCAATGAACTATCTTGACGTACGAGATTAGAAACGATATTGTGAAATGTTTCATTGACGGTTTTTAATCTTTTCGAGGACTAATGGAATAATAATGGGATACACGAAAGCGACCGTTGTTGGTAAAACTCTTCTGACAAAAGGTGGAAGCAGACTTTCCCTTTATATATTTTGAAATATGCCGTTTTCCATTAGAAAGCTTCGTCTTGACAATGAGATCATTTGTCCCTGCGCCTTCGATTCGGTAATCTTAGTACGGAAAATGTTTAAATGGATTATGAAAATTGCCGGTTGAAAAAATGAAAAGCCATTCTCACCTACAGCCGGCATTCCTCGCAATATCGCTCGAACGGTGTTAATGGCCAGTTTCTTGTCACGTTTGTCTAATTTGCCTCCCTCCTCGTAAATACTCCGTGCAAGTGCGGGGCTCATGTGACCCCTTGTCGAGTCCCACATGTACTCGCAATACTCGGACATCTTGCGTACCCTTTTTCTGCCTTGCCACGAGGTCTGAAACAATCGAACGATCCGGTAAAAACGGGGAATCCTTTCTATTTAACGTACGCATATATATGCATATTTGCATATTTGCTGTTATTATATAGTTGACAAAATTTTCGCGAATCTTATCAATGAATTAACATTTACAGTCTCGCGACCTCCAAACACTAGATACTAGAGAATTTCATGTGCGTGAAACGTACTGCAAATATGGAACGGTTGAACGGACACTCCCTGAAAGTAAATGAGACATCTTGCGCAAACGAAATTTATCTTTCAGCGTTGTGCTTTATACACAAAAGTGATCAATTAATGTAAACGTTGGTCGATCAGCCGATACGTAACTCGCACGTGTAGAAACACATATTTAATAATATGCGACGACCTCGCTCGAAAGGAACAATTATAAGCAACGATTGAAAATACATTTAATTACTATTTTAGAATTGTATATAGGCCCTATAAAAAGATTATAATTATTCAAGACATTAATTAGCAAGACATCAAACAAGGCTACAACCGTAACAGAAATGACTCATTTCGAGGTGGAACACCGCTGAGGGGCAACACATCTTGCAGGGGAACCGCGACCGGTTTTGTGTAACTGCTTATCGAGACTTTTACTTCGATCTCGAGAACTCTGTAAAATCATGCGCGATTAATTAATAACCTCGGGTATATACTTTGCAATGCGGATCACTCAATATCTCGACCGTGAATCTATGTATTCGAAGTATAAATTCCGAAGGAAACGCGAAGTATTTGCAAGTTCATTGAGAATAACTCGTCGAGACGTGCAATTTTTTCAGATCTGTTTCATCTGATAAATATCGTGTATATTATGCTCTTTATCAATTGTAACAAAAGATGTTTTATATGTTAAGTATTGTACAAAGTGTAGAAATTAAAGTTTAAAATAATGTAACTTGGTGCTTGACGGTGCGAGTTGGACATATGTCGGGAAATACTTCGTAATCACGCCCGTATGGTTAACGCTGTTAAGTGCAATTTATTCTCGTTAAATACTACAATATTTTCTTTCTTTAATTTTTCTTTTTATCGACAGAAAAAGAACATAATTGCGGGACAATGTTGTAACTCGGAATCTATTGGAAATTATAACGCTCTTAGTCGCGGCGCGTGTAATTACGAAGTAAAATGTAATTAAGCACTAAGAACCTAAATGCAATCGTTTACAATTAATGTCAACTAATACGATCAGAAGGAATAATCGTTAAGATTGTCGATATC